AGGGAGGGATGGCAGGACGTGCGTGTAACACCTCAGCCAAGTCAGGATCTGTGTTTTCAGGCTCGGCATGGCGGGTGGTGGTAGCCATGCTGCCAGGGGAGGGGGAATCCATCACGCTGTGTGCGGGACGCCAGCCAGGGCTGCCCTCGCCGAGCTGCTGGAGTTAACAGCAAGAGTCTCGTGGCTGCAGCAACACGGCACCAAGCCCAGGCAGATCAGCCAAGCTCGAGCCAGGCCCCACTGGCAGGAGCATCTTGTGGTTGCACCACTTGGGAAAGCTTGAGGCCGTGTTTTTGCGTGACACTGGGCTCTGGAGCAGCACCTCTGCCCTGTCCTTCATTCACGTGGGCTCCTCTCAGAGCCTGGCTTGGCCACGCAGCCATCGCTGCTGGGTGCAGCCAGCTCCCAGTAGACACATGCTTAATTAGCATGGGGGCTTGGCATCTATGGGAGTGCTAATTGAGCTCCTTATCAGGGCCTTTCCTGCAGCCCAGGCAGCCCATGTGGTACAGCATCTCACCGAGCAGCTGCACCAGCCCAAAGGCCTCGGGAAGAGCAGCCAGGGCAGACCAGAAATGCCTGTGGTATCTCTGTAGGATATAAAGAAATCAGCAGCCAAGCTAGGGAAGGTCAGACTCAGAAGTCCTTATCTCACTTCCCACAAATAAGGATCATGAGTAAAGCACTCAGACGTCATGAGCATCATGAGAGTGAGTTAACAAAACATGCTGTCTATAAATAAGTAACATGTTTTGAGCTTTTGTTCTTAATCTTAAGAGTTTTGTGCCTTTATAAATTTATATTTAGGGTTATTTTTTCTGCATTGAGAAAGGATAGAAGCATTCTTCTCTGGGTTTTAAATCTCCTGAAATGCAATGGACAATCTCAACAGCCATTGGGTTCCAGAAACTGAAGCATTAACATCCCCCTCTTGCTTTCTCTTCCTCCCCCAAGAAGCATCTTGAGCCTGATGGTAAAACCCAGCCTTCAGCCAACACTGGGTTGGGAATCTGCAAGGAAGGTATTGACATTTCCTGAGGCAAATGTTGGTTGGTTTCTATCTCTCCCTGAAAGTTCCTTCAGGTCCCAATAGATTTGCATTTAGAAGCAAACATTTAACCAGCATTACTTTATAGGACTTTGTATGCTGTGATTTGCTGCAGAGGTGGCAGCATTTCCAGTCATGGAGGGCTGATCCCTGCCAGGAGCACATGTGTTTGCACCTCTTTGAAACCTCTTCAGGTAAAATATGTTTCTAGAAATACCAGTCTTTGTGTAGGATCTTACTGAAGGCACAGGTGAAGAAGAGAATCAGCTGTGAGACAGTAGCAGGGAGCCTGGAGCTCCTTTGGAAAGCACAGGGAGAGGATGAGGAAATGTGGTGAGGAAAGTTTATCACTAAACAAAACATCTCCAGGGTATGAAGGAGCTTCTGCCAGATCGTAGCTACCATATGGCATTCCAGGCTGTCTGACGTGGTTTCGTGCAATGACTGTAGGTCTCAGACCTTGTAGTTTCTGGCTTTGACTTCACCCCAGAGATCTCTGCCTTGGGCAAGCACTCAGAACCACTCTTTGGCCTCGTTTATTTACTAATTACCAGGATTGGCCTATTCAAGTGGGGATGATGCCTGTCTTGGTCCTTGGCCCACAACGACATAAGAGATTTAAGTGGGGCAGGAGTATCTCCATGGAGTGTTGAAAAATTCCACCTTGCCCTTGGCTTAGCTCCCTCCCTCAGCGTGATCACTTCGATTTTCCCCTGGTTTGTCATGTAGGTGCAGAATCAAGGAATGGTTTGGGCTAGAAGTGACCTTAAAGCTCATCTCATTCCAACCCTGTACCGCAGGCTGGGACCCCTTCCACTATCCCAGGTTGCTCCAAGCCTTGCCCAGCCTGGTCTTGAGCACCTCCAGGCATGTGCAGTCCACAGCCTGTTTTGGTAACCTCACCACCCTTATTGCAATTAATTTCTTCCTAATACCTTATCCAAACCTGCTCTCCTTTAGCTTAAATCCTCATCCCCATCCCTCCCATGCAGTGGTGGTCTCTCCTGCCACTGGCCACCTCACTGATGTCCCATGGGTCCTAGGCTGCTCCTTGCCTGCATCTGCTGAAGGTTTCCAGCAAGATGTGAATGCTGGCTTTGCACAGAGACACAGAGACACAGGTCTTTGCACTCCCTTCTCTTAATTGTCCGTTTCCAGGAATAAAAGAACAAAACTAAACCCCAGCACTCTGCACAGTGCCATTAACTGGCCATAAAAGTGTTTTGCTGCAGAGGCTGGGTGGTCAAGTGGTTTGAGAAGATTGGAAACCATCATCTCCCGAGTTTCCGAATTGTTCATGTCACTGAGCCTCTCCGGGGCACGATGCTTCACCCCATGTGTCTCTGTTTACTGTCGATAAAACAGAGCTATTAATACTGCTGTGCTTCAGGGTGATCTTTTGGACTGTAATTAATGTTAAAACCTTCTGAGGTCACTGGCTGGAAGGAGCTGGAGAGGTGCAGAGGCTGTGTGCTGCCAGGCTGCCAGCCTCCACCCCAGCTGGGGTGCTGAGTCCAAAACATGTCATTCACAAGGAATGGAGATGAAAGGGTTTCTTCCAAGGTTCTTGAAAGAGGACTGGCTCCAGGTGAGGTAAAGCAATTGGGTTTGTTGTCAAAAAAAGAATTTTTGACAAGATCAAAATCACTTTGATTCTGATGTTTTTCCATTTACATTGTTGTTGGGTTTTTTCCCCTTACATCATAAATAAATGAAATTAGAGCTTTTTTTTAGAGATTTTTTTTTTTTTTGACATCTATTTTTTAACCCAGGCCTGACCAGGAGAGATGCTCTTGGCAGCTGAGTGACTTTGCTCCTGTGTGCGCTGGGCAGAGGGGAGAAGTGCAGCCAAAAGGCTCACACAGGTCTTCAGCATCACCCAAAGGGGTGGATGTGCTTCAACACCCAACCAATCCTCCTGACCCCACTGGCGATGGAATAGGTGAAATGGGCACTAATTGCTGAATATTACAATTATGTTTTGATAGAAGTCTTCTGTTTTCCAAGGAAAGTGCTCTGGCACTGATTGCCTCAGAGCTAATGGAGCCATCCTGAGCTGCTGCAGGCAGAGCAGAGGTTACACATTAGCTCTGCTCACCCTTTTCCCAAAGCAAACGCAGCAGCACAGCACTGCGGCTCGGCAGGGGACCCCAGGATGGTGATGGGGAGCAGCTCCCAGCAGTTCCCTGATGCTGAGCCCTCTTACTGCTTGTTGTGCTTCTGCTGATGAGCAAGAAGAGCCCTGCAGTGGGTGAGTAGCTGGGGGTCCCTGCCCTGTTCTCCCACTGCAGCTCCTCATTTCCTGGGGCTGGAGTCCCCCTGCCCAGCACTGGGTGCCCCTGTTGGTGTTGCTGAGACACAAACCTTCCCTGCTCCCAGCAGGAGACTCCTCACTCCCCTTGAACTGAAGGGAGGGGAAGGACTGGTGGCACCTTCAGGCCGGGAGGCAAAGCCCTGCAGTCAGATTCCTGCCTGGAATTCTGCGATGCCCTATTGCTGTGTGTGTCCCTCAGTGGGAACAGCCTGTGTGTGGCACTTGTGAAGTGGCACAGGGTGGATGTCCTTCTTGAGGCACTCCCACTCCGAGCAACTCTCCTGGTAAATGAAAGGAATGATGTCATGCCAGAAGGATTAAATAGCATCTCCTTGGGTGAGCTGAGCGTGCACACCCCCTGTGTGCCCCAGCGTTGTGAAAATGGGAGTTGTCCCTGCACACCAGTGAGCTCCTTGGCAGTCTGCTGGCATCCTTTCAGACAGCCAGCATTGTCAGGGAGCTAATGCTAATTGCTTGGAGGGAATATGTCCTGTGCTGGGAATTGCTACCGTGCAAATGTCAGCTCTTATCAGCCACATGTGGGATGTGCAGGGCCTGCAGGGAGGAGAGAGGGGGCTGGCAGTGCTCGTGTGTGGGGTGGGAAAGAGGGAGGCATTGCTTCTGTCACCCCCAAGGATGCTAGGGATGTAGGACCATTACTTACATAAACATACCTCAGGGGCTCAATCCCATTTAAGCTTCAGCTGCTTTTATGATACTCCTTACACTCACTTGCAAGAGCTGGTCAGTTTTACCTTAGGCTAAGGAGGAGTGGCATGTTGTTTCTCAGGCTGGGTACCCCACCACCAGGCATCTCAGACCTCTGAGGGGTTCAAACCAGCCCCTGCACTTTGTCAAAGCCAGCTTGAGTTGCCATGCCCAGCTCTGAGTGAATAAACATGAACTGATGCCCTTTGGGAGAGCGGACAGAAGATTGTCACCCCTACTGCGTTCTCATCTTGGAGCTTTGATGCCCTGAGCAGGACTCTGAGCTCAGCATCCTGGGACGTTCCATGCAGCCACAGCCTGTTTATTCAATGCTCCATCGGGCACAAAAGCTGTATTTTACTGTCAGATGCTCCCCATTAGCTTCAAGTGTGAAATTATCATTCCCACCCTTTTGCCAGCCCCACCCTTGCGAGGAAATGAGGCAGCAAACAACTCAAGGGCCGTTCACAGGGTGAGTAGGAGCTGTCACTTGTCAGCACGGAGCCCACTTACAGCAAGAATTACTGCCCTGCTCCCAGAAGGGCCAGAGAGGAGCCCGGCTCTCAAACACCACCGTGTTATAATGTTCACATCTGTGCATGGCAGAGCAACCCTGAGGTGTTTGCATCTCTTTGCAGTCAGGAGGGTTCAGGCTGAAGCCCCAGAGGGTCCCTGCAATGAGGGGAGAGGAAATGAAGTCCTGCAGATTCCAGAAAGGGATGAAGTGTCCTATCCCCTCAGCCCTGGTTCCTATCCCTGGGCTCTCCTCTGTTCCAAGAGATCATCTCACATCTCCTTGAGATGCCAAAACTGACTGATAGTGCCTGGATCACCTTTTTCCTTTCTCTTCTGGAAGCTGGTTCCCTTAACAACCTGGTGTTTGGGACTGAGGGATCAAGACATTGTTTTTCTTTGCTTCCTGCCTTCCAGATTTACCCTGTACGCGGTGGATACACGAGGGAGACACTCAGAGCTGAGCACAGTCACCCTGAGGACAGCCTGCCCGCTGGTAGATGACAGCAAGGCTGAAGGTCAGTGTTCAGATGCCTCATGTTCCACATTTCCTGCTGATTTTGGTTTTTCTTTCTTCACTGTGCTCCCACAAACCTGCCCAGACCCTTCTCTCCCAGTGGGAAGGCTCCTTTAAATTCACCCACGGGCACGGGGACATTTATCTGGGGATGGGTGACAAGCTGCAGGAGTGTCCAGGGACAAAGTCTCCTTGGCTGGGCAGCTGATGACTCCGTGATGCCACACAGACATCCTTCCCATGCATGGCTGTGCCCCCCTGGAAGAAGAGCAATCCCTTCTTACCATCCTGGGAGAAGCAGCCCTGGCTGGGCCATGCAGGGCATCTTTGGCTCTGGGTGTTTGAAGGGATGCTGGAGGCAGCTGGATCAGTTTGGAAACAGAAATGTTGATAAAAGCCCAGCTACTTTTGCACAATTTGCATTGTTCAGTTTTAAAACTGATCCCACTTGTCCTTACACCCAAACCAGAGCACCTGGCTGCTTTCAGGTTTAAAATTATTCCTCTCTGTGACCATCATGTTACTTGTTCTCTTTCTTGCTTGTTTTCCATTGGGAATAGCACACAGAAAAAGAAAATTGGTTATTTCTTAGTTCTATGTTCAATAAGAAAAGCATTCCAGTGGAAAAACAGCAAACAGGAGACAGAGGAGAAAGAAGGAGGTGCAGTTTTGTGCATTTCTCATCTCCAAAACGAGATTTTTTTTCTACAGCAGAGAGTTAACGCTCTTGTTTAACACATCTGAGCTGCTCCAGCAGTTGCCCACAGCAATGAGGTGCTGCATTTCTGGGTGAAGAACCTTCCTGGGATCAAGGATTGGTCTCTTCCTGCTCTTTAGCACCATAGCTGTGAAGGGCTTTTGGTTTGGTGAATTCGGGGAGAGTTTGCCTGCCCTTCCTGGGAGGATAAGGCTGTCTGCCTGTCCTGGCAGCTTTTTGCTTCTCCTCCTTCTGCTCCTTCATGGAGAACTGGTGGAGTCTTTGGGCCAGCTTTGCTCATGCAGGGCACCCACTGCAGGATCAGCCTGAGCAATTGCTGAATGCTCTGCAGTCACTGACCCCCGCTGCAGGCAGCCCCAAGGGACTGGCAGCCCCCCAGCCCCTGCTGCCAGCCCTGCCAAGGGCTCTGCTCCTCCTCTTCCCGTGCTAGCACCTTCAGCTGGTCATTAATCCCGTGCCCTGATCCTTTCCAGAGATAGCTGACAAAATCTACAACCTCTACAACGGCTACACGAGCGGGAAGGAGCAGCAGACAGCCTACAACACCCTGATGGAGGTCTCTGCTTCCATGCTCTTCCGGGTCCAGCACCACTACAACTCCCACTACGAGAAGTTTGGAGACTTCGTGTGGCGCAGCGAGGACGAGCTGGGGCCCAGGTACCTGTCCCTTCCCTGTGTCCTGCCCAGAGCACCCCTCTGCTTGGCCACTGTGGCTAAGAGAAGCCCCCTTTTGGTGTTCACCAAGCTGTCCTGCATCCCCTTGGTGCACCAGGTCCTGCTCAGTCCTTGGATGAATGTTGCTGGGACACCTGGAAGCTTGTGGTCTTTGCACGAATGTTTGTATCACCCACCCCGAGCCAAGTGGGTGAGCTGGGGGCTTGGAAACACTGAGGAGTAGGGGGAAAAATGTGTAATATAGGCCTGGAAAAGATTTTCCTTCTCCCTTTGTTCCTATCTGCTTGTTGGATGTGGCTGAGTATCTCTCCATAGTACCAGGATGATGCCTCACAACTTTACACACCTTCTGGACATAGATCCAAGCTGGCCTGGGGTTTGTCCTCCTCCAGAGATGACCTTGCTGTAGTTTCTTTGGTAGTTCAGTGGCCTCTGGCACAGAGCCACTCTCATCTTCCCCCTGCCTTCCCTCTGATGACACTGCAGGCTTGTTTGTCCTTTGCAATTGTTCTTTTTTTCTGAATCCCTGGGAGCCATCAGCTTCTTCTTACACATCTTTATTTCCCCTGTTACTTGAGATCCAACCTTCTGAAGGATGCTGTCTAACACGATACCTGCTTCAAGCTGTGGGACAGCAGGGTGACATTTAAACTGCCAGGTCCCAGACCCAGCTACATCTGGAACCCATGGTCAATTTGGCAGCTGCCTATTGTCCTCAGTGAGCCAGGGGAGTTCCTCACAGCACTCCTCTGCCCTGAGAAATACGTGATTTGCAGTCAATCTCTAAAAGCAGGGCAGCCAGTGCCAGGCTCGTGACAGGAGCGAAGCTCTGCCATCCAGCCTGGCCTCTCGGGGAGCTCGGACAGAAGCAGAGGCACTGACACAGCAGGAGGCAACCAGGATTTTTTTTTCTTTTGCCAAGGGAGGCCATCTCGTAACAGGATTTTCATTGACAGGCTGTTCTCCTTCCCAGGGGGACGTGCATTTTTGTACCTTGAAATGTTTATCAGATGAGCCTCGGCTTCACAGTGAATGCTCGCTCATAAACCGGAGTGACAAGAGGGGAGTCCATTGCCTCTGTGTAATAAATACATCACACTGAGGTCCTCGTGAGCCCAGTTTCCATGAAAGCCACAGGTTACTGCGAACAGCTGCTGGCAAGAAGACACACTGACAGCCAGATGTCCCAGCCAGACCGTTTACATTAAGGAGACATTAAAAACTTAGCTCATAGGTGGCCCTAAACCAGGATTTTCCGTGGTCAGCAGCATCTCAACACCTGGCTTGCCTCATCCTCCTCATCTCCTCTAGCAACAGCAGCCCCTTTCCTTCTCCCCCCATTCCTCTCACAGGCACCGAGTGAGTCTCACACAGTTAATTTGTTCCAACAAGACAGAGGAATCTGTCTAAATCAGTGAACTTTAATGCTACTGTGCATCTAGACCTCTGGATCCCTTCAGCCAGCCTACTTCCTAACACAGCCACAGGGAGATTTCACTATTATTCTTTCTGTGTTTTCAGCATGATTCTTATGACCACTGCAAGCAGGATACGGCTTTTAAGAGGAGGCGGAACAAATAATTAAGTTAAAATCTTCTTTCCATGCCTCTATTTGTGGCTACCAGCAACACAGGGGTCAGTAGGTGGCATCAGCCCAGGGCTCAAAACCTGTCCCTGCTCCAGCCAGTCACCCAGGCAGGCAGCTGGGCTGGCCAAGGGACATGAAATGCATCTCCAGAGCAGCTGCCTTCTGGTACAAGGGGGAATGCAATGTTCTGATGGGAGGCTCTGATAAGAGGCCATCAAGTCCTGGACTCACTGTCCTCACACATGAAGGTCTGAAAGACCCAGGTCAGTTCTCAGTAGAGTGGAAAATCTGAATTCATGACAAAATCACCTCATACAGGAACACAGCAGCCAGGCAGCCACCCTTCCCTGCAGTCCCAGGAATCTCATTCTTCCTTCCAGCCCAGGTATCATTCTTTAATGGCTCCTTCATGCAGCTTTGCCCTCTTTTATACCTCCCTCCAAGGTAAGGGAGGGCAGGGTTTGGCTGGCTCTGGATATATTTTTATCCCTATCAGCCCTCAAGGTGAGTGTTGGCTGTCCCCTGTGCAGCTGGAGGGGACAAACATCCCAGCAAGAGCACCCCTGGCACTGGGCAGAGCAGGGAGCTCCTACTCTTGGGCAAATCCTTGCAGAGCTGGGGCTGGCAGCAGGGACCTCAGGGCCCTGTCTCCTGTGCAGTGGGAACTCTGGTTCATGCAGGAACCCTTGGAAAGTGCCCTGGCAGCAGACTCCCATCCCCTCCCGTTTCCTCTCTCCCTCCATGCCACGAGGCACCGCAGGGGGAAGTGGCTGCTTAGAGCTGTCACTATTTTTAAATCCCCCTCTTCATCATTTGTGACTGTGCTGTGACCTCCTAAATCCACCACCAGTGCAGTCCAGGATCAGTCCCTGGCTCCTGTGGTGGGAGAGAGGGCACTGCTGGCCCACACCAACCTGGGAGCATCCCCATCTGGGCTGTGGAGTGAGAGGGAACGGGGGCACTTCATCCCTTTGGGGACTGAGAGCTTGGGGTCCAGCCACAGGCAGCCAGGAGAGTGACTCCCCTCTCGCTCCCCTGGTGTCCCCTCCCAATTCCTGCCCTTTAATAAGGCAATAAATTGCAATTTCTGGCAGGGATGAGGTTGGTCAGCATTTAGGAAGATTTCATTTCCAGTATTTGAAAAGGTGGTCGTTCTGACCCAACAGCCCTCCGTAGGGAGCACTTGGGTAATACCCAGGGCTTGATTTATGGTGTTAAATTGGCAGCCCAAGAATTGCTCCTGTAATTTATTACCCAGTCTTCACCAGAAAGCCTCTCTCTCTTTCTCACCCCTCCCCTCACCCACTCTGTCTCTCTTCCTCCTTATTTTTTTAAGAGGGAACAGCTGACAGCCAAAAGCTAAATCTAACATTTACACATGACTTCATTACCCTGCTAAAATAAATGACTCAAAGCAGTGAATCCCATCAAAACTGGAGCTTTGGCACTGGACATCAGAAGCGAGGGGCCCGATTCCCTTTCCCCTGTCACCCTGTCTCCTCTGTGACCACAGTTCAGTGTGTTTTCAGTATCTCACAGGGCCCAACCATGGGATGGGCCAACCCATCCCATCCTTAAACACAGGTTTTTCCTGGGACTGAGTGCACAGAGGAGCTGTGGATGCAGCAGGCGTGTGGAGACAGCTCCAGGAGAACCACAGCCTCTGGCACAGCAGGCATCAGCAGGTTGGGGTGGTTTGACCCCTGAATTTCTTGCCATCCTTGAAGTGCTTCTCACATGTAGGAATATTTGCCTGGATAAGAGGCCTGAGTATATATTAGAAAGCAAGGACCACACTATGAGTTCTAGCAATACTCAGGCAATCATTAAAGTGTAGTGGAGCAAGGAATGAAAATGGGAAGGTAGAGAAGGCCAAGGGAAGTGGAGGCAAAGGCAGGTTGTGTGTGAGAACAGTGAGAGGTGGGTGAAGAAAGCTGTGGAGGGTAGGATAGGGGAAGTGGTGAGCAGGGAATAGAGGAAGGGGAGAGCATGGCTAGCAGAGAGCTACTGGCCAGCTGAGATCTCCACTCCTGGTGGTGTTGCTGGTTACCCACCACGAGGGTTTTCTCAAGGGCTGGTCATGGCTGCTCCTTGGGAGAGGCCTTGTGGTGAGCTGGAATAACCAGTCTGGAGTAACCAGTCTGTGGGGGGAACCCAATGATTGCTTGTTTGACCTTTGAATAAACAACTTCCCTACGATGGCACAGCATTCAGGTCCATGGACACCAACACAAAAAAAAGCTAAAGGGCTGGGGAAGGGCCCGAACCCCGTTTTGGCAGTAGAGCTGCTTTGTGATAAATTAGGGTGATCCTGGAGTTGTGGCCTTAGAGAGATGAGGTTTCTCCTCTGTGAGGGTGTTCTGGCTGAGTGATCCCCTCCTGAGCATGGCCAGCTGACATAAAAGTCCATCCTGTGAGGTGATGTGGGTCCTGTGCTTGTTCAGCCTTCCCTGAAAGGGAGAACCAGTGCAGATGTTAAGAAACAATCTGCCAGCATGAGGACAGGGAGCACTTGAAGATCACCAGCTCCTGACTCTAGGAACAGGTGAGAAGAAAGTCATCCAGGGAGGTTGATCCCAGCAGGAAGTGGCACAGGTGATGGCTGTTAGTCCCTTCCAGATGACTGATTTGCTGAAGTTTGGCAATTGTAGGGACAAATCACTGCAGAGTTTGTTTTGCTGCTGAGCTGAGCTTGAATCAATCAGTCTTCACCAAAAGCACCTAATGCCATTGTGGAATTTGTGGCTCCAAGAGGCACATCCAGCAGCACAGGACCTGTTCCTGGCAGCGTGTCAGGTCTTGCTGTGTGGGTGGGAGCACCAGATGCTTTAGAAGGTCAGGTGGCTGCTACAGAGAGTAAGGTGAGTAGAGGAGTTGTGTCAGAGCTGGGCACAGCTCAGCCCATGACATTGCCATTATTATAGATGTGTGTGTAGCTAACGAGGCTCAAATTGCCCTCAAATTTTTATTATTATAAAATTTTTATTCCCGGCCTTGTGTCTTTGTGGATGAAATCCATAAATGGATATCATGGAATGTAGTCCAGGAAGGACCAACTTCCTTTGTTCTTCCTTTGCCCTCAAAGCTGACCCAGAGCACATCACCCTGGGGAGGAGTGGGACAGTTTTCCATGTGCAGCCCCGGAGGATCAGTGGTTTCCTAGAGCCTTTCATGCAGTGTTCCCGCTCTGGAGGGAGAGGTCTGAGCTGGCTGCGGGTGCCAGGATGCCCTCTCGCCTCCTGCCACCGTCTCTGCCCTCTGCTCTGGCGCTGAGGTGACCCTGACCAGCCCTTCCCCAGACATCAGGCTCTGACACTCCCCAGGGCTGGGAGCTCACAGCCCAAGCTGCAGCACCACTCAGCTTTCATAATCAAATAATCCCCATGTTTATGCCTTGCTGACTGACAGTGCTGCCCCTGACATATCATTATCGGGAATTTACATTCCTGCAGGAACTGTGAAGTCCTCGACTCCTGAATCCAGAGCTTTCCTGTGGCACCAGAGGGAGAGGAAATAATCTGTGATCTTGAAAGTTTCAGACCATTGAAGTAAATCCTCTTCCCTCCCTTTGTTTGATTTAGCACTTTGCAGACTCCCACAAGGGGATTCTTGGTTTCTTACGCGTTTATTTTGTTTTGTCTTAATGTGCTGTGCTTTTTTTCCCTCACTCTTTTAGTGTCAGTCCTTTTGGCCTGTTTACCTCCTGCAGACTTGGGAAATCAGGAAAGGGAGGGCTGTGCTCATCAGTGAGGGGCAAGAAGGTGCTGGGGGTCTCACCAGGGTGCCAGGTGGGGCCAGCAGAGGTGCTGGAGCTGGCCAGGATCATATGGTGGTGGTGACAATCCAGCTGGGGCAGACTGCCCCCAGGGCACACAAGCTGCTCCAGTGGGTCAGACCTGAGGTCTTAGTGCTGTGAAATGATAGATATACCCAGAACTTTAGGAAAAACAGAGCTTCTCTCCACTTGGAACAGGAAAGACAATGTCTTAGGCAATGGGTCTCATCCATTCTTGCCACAAGACAGAGCTGGTGGCAGAAGTCCTGACTCCGGGTGTCCCCTGTGCCTTGCCTGCACTGCTCTGTTCCCACCTCTGTCCCCTGCAGGAAGGCTCACCTGATCCTGAGGAGGCTGGAGAAGGTCAGCAGCCACTGCTCGACGCTGCTGCGCAGTGCCTACATCCAGAGCCGCACCGAGACCATGCCCTACCTGTTCTGCCGCAGCGAGGAGGTCCGGCCGCCCGGCATGGTCTGGTACAGCATCCTAAAGGACACCAAAGTCACCTGCGAGGAGAAGATGGTCTCCATGCTGCGCAACACCTACGGGGAGTCCAAGGGGCGGTGAGGGAAGGAGCGGGCCTGGAGCTGTGGGAGGCAAAGGGACTCTGAGGAGTCGAGGACTTGTGATGTGCTGAGTGGCTGGTGGGGTTTGGGGTCGGGTGATGTTCAGAGGGGGTGGAAGGGGACAGCGAGGCCAAACAGGACTTTCTCACACAGACAGCAGAGAAACAAGAAATGAGCAAGTTGGACTTTAATTTCTTTTCCTTTTTTTTTTTTTTAATTTTTCAAGAGTGAAAAAAAAAAAAAGAAAAAAAAAGAAATTACCTAATTTGACTCAGCATAAAAGCCTCTCCTTTTTAATCTTTTCTTACTGAATTTCCTGGACTACACACTCCAAAACCCTGAGGAGGAGGAGATACCCACTCGAGGCCAGGGCCCGGCAGAGGGGAGCTGATGGGCACAGGGTGATGCCCTCCCTGCCTGCCCTGCCTGCCCTGCCGCCGTGGGGCAGCAGCCGTGGGGCGAGGGGCCCCGGTGCCGTGGTGGCCGAGGACGCCAGGAGGAGGTGGCGTGGGTGGCGGTGACACCGCGCTGCCAGCGAGGGTCCCGGGGCGGGAGCCAGGCGGGTGCCCGGGATGCTGCAGGCAAGCTGGGCTTTTGTAGCGCTCCGAGTGGACGGGGTGGCTCCGTGCGCAGCCTTCGTTGGAAAGGCTCCCGGCAGCTTGTTCTGTGCATTAAAGATTCATATCGAGTCCATCTTCGCTGCCTCCCTGCTGTTTCTTCTTGACGCGCTCTCGCCTCTGCTTGGGCATCCGTGGGGGTTTTGGTTCTGGTGTGGCACTCCTGAGATGGGGCTGAGGTGATGGAGCCTCAGCCCTCCCTTCCACGTATGAAAAGGAGGGAAACGTGCAGCCTTTCGCACAGGGTCCTCCCCTCCTCGACACCCAGCATAGCCACTGGTCCCAGTGGGAGCTAAAAGCGTGTGGGAAAGACCAAGAAGAAAGCCAGGGGCGAAAAAGACATGGAGAATCTGGTTTCTTTTACTGTCAAATGTGGGTTAGGCTGGCCTGGGATCCCTGTGGGTAATAGATTTCTCAGCCTGGTAGCCAAACCAAAAAGTGCAAGAGGGTGAGAGAGGAAAAAATACAAATATCAGATCAGCTCAAAGCTATTGCTTTTTCCTTTTTAAATCAGAACAACAAACCTGGAGAGGGAAGAGAGAAGTGTGTGGGTTGAATTAATCAGTTTAGTCAGCCCAAAGCAAATAGTTTTGTTTAGTTTTTCAGGTTAGTTAACCCTTTAAATCAAATCAAACAAACAGGAGGTGAGTTTCAAAGCAAAAATGTTTTGAAACCAAACAGCTGTGCAGAATTTGATGTGGAGAAGGTTCTGCCAGAATTTGATGTGGAGGTTTTGCCAGAGACCTTTTTCTTCTTGAGCTAAACCTATTTGCCTGATTTGCACCCACTCAAATAATTCTGATTGTTCCTTTTGAACTTTCTCTTTTTTTTCCCCTCTTTGGTTATGTCTCTTCATTTGAGCCACATTCATGTGCTTTGGGAAGGTCTCCAGCACCTGGTCAAAGTCCTGCTGAAGATCAGAGAAAACTTTACTGTGACATTGCAGCCTGTAAGACAAAGCATTGCAGGTTGCCTGAGGTCTTAATTTTTAGGCTAAATCCCTTTTTCTGCTGGAGAGAGGGAGGAGGATGACACTGAAGGCTGTGGGCTATGGCCTGGGTGTCTCTGAGGGTTGTACCACACTGAAAACAAAGACCAAGGTGGGGATTCTGACACCACCATGTGTTAAAATCTGAGTGCCCAGCACTGCTGCTGCCTCTTCACCATCCCTTTGCCCTTTGGGGGTTGAGTGGTGGCCTTGGAGTTTGGTTGTGGGGGGGAAGGAGATGATCGTAATTCGTTGCAGTCAAATGAAGACTTTGGTTTTGCCTGGTTGGAGCTGCAACAACACACAGCAAAAGCCTTGGAATGCCAGTGTGGGGGTGCCTGGCCAGTGCCCAGACTGGTGTCAGACCCAGCTGCCCATTTCATGTGCTGCCAGGACACAAGGTGTGCACTCTGGGTGAAAAACTCCCAAATCTCCCTTTGGAGCCACTGATGCAGAGTGACTGGGACTGATGTGCAGTTTTGAGTGCCAAGGTATAAGAAAAATCTAAAGCCATTGGAGAATGCCCAAAGCAGGGGCACAGAGATGGTGAAGAAGGGTGGAAGCCATACAAGGAGAGGCTGAGGTCACTTTGTGTGTTCAGCCTAGAGAAGAGGAGACTGAAGGGAAATGATACCACATTTTACAGCTTCCTCACTAAGGCAAATAGCGGTGCAGGCGCTGATCTCGCCTCTCTGGTGACCAGTGACAGTTCCTGAGGGAATGGCATGAATATATGTCAGGGCAGCTCAGGCTGGAGAGCAGGAAAGGTTCTTCCCCCAGAGGTGCTGGCACTGCCCAGGCTGCCCAGGGAATGGGCACGGCCCCGAGGCTGCCAGAGCTCCAGGAGCCTTTGGCCAGCGCTGCCAGGGATGCCCAGGGTGGGATTTTGGGGGATCTGTGCAGGGACAGGAGTTGGGCTCTGGTCCTTTTGGGTCCCTTCCCACTCAGGATATTCCATGATTCTGTGACTATGATCATCCCCTCCTGGCATCTGCAGAGCAGGTAGTGCCTCCACTGCCTGTAGGACAGGTTCCCCCGGACACAGCAGCGGCCACAGGGAGCTTGGCTGGTCCATCCTGTCCCTGCTGCTCACCGGCTGCAGCTCCAGGTGCTTTGAAGCTGCCTTGTTTTCTCAAGGCTCTGGCCCACAGCTGTGCCGTTCCCTGTACTTTATAAACACAGGGGTTTATTTTGTTTTTGTTTGCTTGGCTCGGGGGATGATTCATTTCTCTTGGAAGCCCCGTGCAGCACACAGCGATGGGGAGCTCTGTGGTCTCACTGCAGGCAGTGTTGACCAACCTGAGGGACAAATTGCCTGTGTTTTCTGTAAGTGACTGGGCTGGAGGTGTGACAGGGATAATGCTGCCCCTGGGATTCCTCTGCATTGTGAGTGTGGTGCTAGGTGTTAGGAACAGGAGATGCCAGCCAAAATACAAGGCAGCTGGCTGGCTGGCTGCCCCTCAGCATGTTTTTCTCCACTCTGACACTGTGTTTTTTGCACCTGGGATGTGCATCCCTCACAGAGCTCTGGGGAAAGGACGGAGCTGCAGCATGGCGATGTTTTGTTGCAGATGGTGATGGAAAGGAGACCTTCAGCTCTGGTAGCCTTGACTGGGAACGTAGCAGGAGCACAGGCTGGTTGTTACCTGGATGCACAGTGCAGCTGTGTCCATTGCAGAGGCTTCGTTTGCTTGTTTTGGAAGGCTGCTGAGGAGCTTTGCTGTGCATCCGTGGTGAGACTGGCTGCTCGTACACGTACGTGCACAGAGTGAGTTGTGTGTGAGCCTGTGTTAATATGTACAGAGCAGGTGGAAGAGTCTAGACTTTGGGCTGCAGAGTTTGATGGCCATTAACCTGTCGTGAAGCACACCTAGCTCCCAGATCAAAGCCAGGAGAGCCTCTGGCCAGTGATGCTACCTGGCACAGCACACCCAAGCCAAACAAAACGGAGGAATTCATCGAGGTTACACATCCTCCAGCACACAGCTGAAAGGAAGGGTCTGTATTTTCTCCCTGGAAACTTCGGAGAATGTAACCCTCTGGCTTTCAAGATAAACACTTGTAGTCATAGCCCAGCAATGCTGACAGATGGACCTGTGCCTTATAGTGTACACAGACACACAGACCCCTGCCACTCCTCTGACTCCCTCGTGGAAAAGGGACCCCAGCTCCAAAGCAAATTGCTGCTGCCCCAAGAGCTGATCCTTTTTGCCAGCCAATACCCTGACTTTGCTGTGCCTGGGCTTTGGCAGAGCAGGGGTGATGCTGTCTCAGGTGGGAGAGCACCAAGGGGTGGATGAAACATGAAAAGCAAGCAGGGAGAGGAGCAAAAAGATGCCATCCTCCATATTTAATAGATAAACTACCCTCGTTCATTTGAAAAGCTGAAATTATTTCCCTAATGGCATTGCTGGGAAGGATCACTTGGCTTCAATGGCTCCTGGGTGGAGTGACCAGCTTTAGGATGAGTTGAGGTCAAGAGGAGAAACTTTCTCCATGTGTCTTTGCAGTGAGTGTATGTGCAGGTAACAGCACTGACAGAGCAGCCATGGGTGCATCCTGCACAGCCTGGCCCTACTTCCCCCATCCATAAACTCCAGCTCAGCGTGGGGACAGGGTTTCCCTGCAAAGAAACCTGTAAGAAGCATTCACTGCCACTTCCAGCATCCTATGAGAGTCCCACTGGGCACACGCCCTTCTTGAGGGCACCCCAAAGCTGCCACTTGTCTGGCAGCTCAGAGCTGGTGACAGCTGCAGGTCCCTCCCAGGGCTGTTCCCTCCCAGGAGCCTGAACAATCCCCATTGTCCCCATGGCCATTGTTCCCCGCCCTGGTCCCGGCCGGGCTGCAGCTGGCACGGCGCACAGAGGGGCCGATTGTTTGGGTTTCTGTGCTGCTGATGACACACCACTTTGGGACAGCTTCTTCCCACGGCAGAGAACTCTGGAGTCAAGTGCTGCATTTGCTCCTTTATTTATTTGGTTGGTTTCTGCTTTTCCTCTTTTTTTTTCTTTAAAAAAAAAAAAAAAAAATCTTTTCCTTGGTTGGATGGGACTCACTCTGCTGAGGCTGGGGAAGAAGCCAAAGGAGTGCCAGTGGCTGTGGGTGTGGGCAGCCCAGGTTCTCATCATCCCAGGGGGTTCCTGGGGGGACAAAGCCTTGCAGTGGCATTAATACTCAGCCATGGCAGTGCCCTGTGGTGCCACAGATGACTCAGTAGCCCACAAACTCATGCCTTGTTTCCCTGGAGGATACAAACCGCGCGTTGTACCTGCTGGGCCAGGGGCAGGATTAGCTGTGCAGAAGCTGAGCATCATGACATGAATTGATGTCACTCAAAGGAAAACGTTTCTGTTTTATTTTCCTAAGCACACATGGCCTGCCTGCCTAGGTGTTGGTGGCCACGATATTAAACCAGGCCCATGGCTCACAGTGCCACCACGGTGGGGTGACATGCCCTGGGCAGCTCTGGCCTTGCCAGTGCCCCTCACAGCACTTGGCTGGGGCTGGGAGGAACAAAAATCTGCCAACAGACTCTTGGTTCTGGGCACCAGGAGCTGCCAGGGCTCCAGAGATTGGTTTGAAGCACTATGATGTGCTTCAGCTTGGGCTTTCCTGTTGTGCCATGAGGGCTGGGGGGCTTTAAGTGCTTGGGTGGAAAGTTTGAGCATTGCAGTAGTAATAAAGTGTGCAATAAAAAGAACTCCTGTTCCCTTCCCTGCACCTGCCCACCCTCCCATCTCTCCAAGGCTGTTTAGCAGACACTGTGGCATGGAACCTCATGGAAACACAGCAGCACCAGGGCTTGGGAAAACCCACGATATTAGGGTGGTGTTTGGAAAAGAACAGGTCTGTGTTACAAGGTGAGTGCCCAAAGACAGAGGTGGGTTTTGACATTCATATCTCAACTCTTTCATCAAAAAAGATAATGGACTTGAAGCATGAGTAGGTTTGTCCCTGTGGGCTGGATGAGAATAAAGGGGAGCAGCAGCAACCTTAGGTATGGGGCTCTTAGGTTTCTTTAAAAAAACATATAACTGAGGAAGTGATTTATAAATGAAAAAAATGGCAGATAACCTCTTAAAAGCA